ATTAACAGTGCAATAATACCATGTCAGGGTACCGTTTATGAATTTGTACAACGATTTAGGGTTGCTGTGCCCAAACGCGTGAATCGAATCAAAAAGCTTTTACACACACTTGTAGACAACAGTTCACGNACGTGGAGAACAGAACTAAAAAGCGGATGACATTAGAAGGGCTACGCATACTTTGACTTTTCATAAAGCGGCGTCAATCCTCTTTCGTTTAGGGGGGATTTGTGGGCCCACACCCCTCCCCCTCCGCCCCACCTCTAAATCGTTGTACAAATAGCTAAACATTTCCCGAAATATTTCTGTTCTCAACGTGCATTCTAAAGAGTCGCCTGTTTGAGTTTGGGACAACTAATGAAATCACTTTCCTTGAAATGGTTTTCACAATTGCGAAATTAATCACGTAGTACAACACCACAACTTTCTTCCCATCGCTGCCGTCTTAATTCGCAACTAGGTGGTTTATAACATCGCACTATTTTCGTGTTCTGACTTTTATTGCAAACAGCGCGCCGTTCAAACGTTTTGCTCCGTTTCATCTTGGTTTCCTTACATTAAATATTTAAGAAAAGTCGCATGTATTTACTTATTACCCAACTTTAAATGTACTTACTTGCTCACCTCGACGGTTTATCTCTTAACAATTTCACGTTAATTAAGAAAATTTGTTGCTTGAAAAATTTGTGTATAACTTTTGTTTTAACAAATTCAAATTTGAGAAAAAAAAATCAAATGGGTTAAGAATTCATTTCGGTTTGACATTATAGCCNTGTATTTACTTATTACCCAACTTTAAATGTACTTACTTGCTCACCTCGACGGTTTATCTCTTAACAATTTCACGTTAATTAAGAAAATTTGTTGCTTGAAAAATTTGTGTATAACTTTTGTTTTAACAAATTCAAATTTGAGAAAAAAAAATCAAATGGGTTAAGAATTCATTTCGGTTTGACATTATAGCCTGTTTCTTATGAGAGCAATGTCAAAATCAATCACACTTTGTTGAATACATTTTGGATCTACCTTCCTATTTTTTTATCATGTAACATATGTAATTGCTTCAATATTGTCATACCTAATCCAAAAAATACAAATTTAGAGTTGAGTATGCAGAAATTACTGCTACCTTTTCTTCTATGTTGTGTAAAAATTCCTTTTTACTATGGGGGCGATATGTATTTATATAATTCGTATATTGAAAATGAAGTTGTTGTATAAAATTAAGAAAAATTATTGTTTTAAGGAGTTTGCCTTGCATAGCTGTAAGTAGTAAGTGTAAGTGAAAATTTAATTTAATTTAATATCGCCTTTTTTGGTTTTTTGCGGTGTTTTTGTAATTTGGTTTTTTTCGGTAAACCGAAAAGATCAGGTCTTTAATACAGTTTTTTTAACGGTTTAAAACCTGAATAAAAAATCGTGATCAATCAAAAAACCGATTTTTTGGAAACGGTGCCCACCCTAGGGAATGCTCTAGCCCTCAAAGTAATCGATGCAGTATCCACTGGTCGGAGTATGGGAAAGACCAGGTGGAGACGGCGCACTTGGTGTTTCTAATTGGTGCCTGTTAGCAAGAAAAACCGGCTGAATGGCTGAATTCAACTCCAACAAAATTGCTTTAGCGGCAATGACGAAAAAGAAGCACAGCTCGGGACTAGAGTTTTTACCCGTCTTAATGCCTCCATTATTAACGAAAATTTTGAATTAAAAAACTTGCATTTTCTTGCTTCGATTTGTAACCATACTTAGATAAATTTGTTCATGGGTAGGTCAGTAAGGCCAACATAGTAGTTCTCACGTTAATGAAATGTACACACGTTGACAAATGTTTACAGCCTTTAATTAGCATGTTTTACACTATTGGTCGAGCCAAACTATGTATTTTCTTGCAAATCGTTGTTTATTTAAGTATACACTATGAATTACATGTAACTGCTGACAAGTAGTTATTCAGAGATTGACCCGTATGCACATATTTATGTACATATGCGCATCCACGCAATGGCGCTTAACGGATTCACCTCAAAAGATACTTCTTTATTTACTTATTTTTGTTTTTTCTTTCCACAAGTATTATTAACTACTTAATACACATATAAAATATGTACATACATATGTATGCATTTCTTTCGGTTACTTGGGCTCCTTTTGCTACAGAGATCATATAATTTCCTACCGTTTTATGATATTCAGTTTAGTTTGCGCTGTGACTTCAGGCGAACACCACATTAACCGCTTTAAAGCTAAAAAAGCTCTCAGTGCAACAATCGCGCGAATATTGGAAATACCACAAATAGTCGTTGGAATAAGTAACTAGAATTTAATGAAAATAAGTGTTCTCAAGTTTCCGACTTGCAAATTGCGTGCAATTGAACTAAAAAGTTTGTTGTTTGATTTCGTTAGCTAATCGGCCAGCCGGTGGAACACAAATAAAAACCAAACATAGCTGATTTCAACAACCATATATAAGTAAACAACAACAACAGAAGACGCAGACGCGATCGTTTTAGCAAGGAAGTGATAGGTATTTGTGAATATAGTAAATTAATTTAATACAAATGTGCTAATGAACAGAATATATCGTCAATTTCAAGGATGGAGCAGTGAAGTTTGATTAAAAGATAAATAATTGAATCCCTTGTACGCATCAGTGTTTAGAAACTCGTAGCTGTATGAACCTTTTGTTGTTTGTCTAATCAAGAGACATATGTATGTTGTTTTAAGTTTTTTTGAGTTTGTATTTAGCTCTTTCTGTAAATAATGCCATATTGTAAAAATAACATTTCCTGATTATTATAACTGTATGTACTTCTCGGCCGCTGTGGTGTAGTGGTAAGCAGTGCGCGCTTCCACTCCGCAGCACTTGGGATTAAAACTTGGTCAAAGCAACAGCGCAAAAAATATAGAAAAAAAGTTATTTCTTAACAGCGGTCGTCCCTCGGCAGGCAATGGCAAACCTCCGANCCCTGGTCAAAGCAACAGCGCAAAAAATATAGAAAAAAATTTATTTCTTAACAGCGGTCGTCCCTCGGCAGGCAATGGCAAACCTCCGAGTGTATTTCTGCCATGAAAAACAGATTCTCATAAAAATACAATCGCCGTTCGGAGTCGGCGTAAAACTTTAGGCCCCTCCGCTTTGTGTGACAACATCAAGGCGCACGCCACAATTCGGAGGAGAAGCTCGGCCAAACACTAACATATGTGAAAGCGCCAATCTATTATTATTATTATGTACTCCTTAATTAGAGTAAACTCACAACTAAAGTTGAAATCACAATAGTTGTGTTTTTTTACAAATTATCCAGTAACTTGCCAGCAACTCTCCAGTAACTTTATTTCTAAGAATTCGCTCTCAAAGAAAAAAATTGCAATAAAGTACGCGAACGCTTTTCCAGTAACAATTTTCAAGTTTCATGAACAGCTGATAAATTGGTTGTTTATTCGCAGCAAATTCCTAATAAAACAATATATTTTGTATTTAAATAGGTTTATTTTGTGAGATTCAACAATAAAAACCCACAAACAGTTTCCTTATTAGTTTAAATTTCATCCAGCAACATGCGATCAGCTGTTTTTCGTACTGGCAAATTCTTACAAGTAAAAATTTATCCAGTAAAATCNAACATGAAAATTCGTAAAAACTTTTACTGGATTTTACTGGAAATGAGTAAAAAAACGCAACTAATATATACATGTTGGCGATTGACGATCTCTTTCCAAACAATCGTTCAAACCGGCGGGCACAGTTGAACTTACGTGCATAGCTATGTATGTATGTACATATTTTGTTCAACAGCACCTCTAAATTTTTATACCCGAGCGCACTTGTGCACAAGGGTATATTAATTTTGTTCACATAACGCTTGTTTGTAACAGCCAAAACGAATCGAGATAGATATACACAAATGTATACATAAATGGTCAGGATGAAAAAAGAAATCGATTAAGCCATGTCTGTCTGTCCGTCTGTCCGTCCGTCCACCCGTCCGTGTACACGATAACTCGAGCAAAAATTGAGATATCTCAACGAAATTTGGTATGTAGGTTTCCCTTAATCCAAGGTAGGTTGGTATTGAAAATGGGTGGAATCGGACTGTAACCACGCCCTTTTCCCATATAACGGTAATTTCCAGAAATACGAAAACTGCGATATTTTAGTAACTACTAAAGATAATTCACTCAACATTGATATTTACAATAATTTTTAGACGAAAAATAAGAATGTTATAAATTTTTGGAAAACGGGCGTAGCCTCGCCCACTTATGGTTCCATGTGTATATCTTGGTAACCGCTGCACCAATTTCTTCCAAACTTGGCACAGTTNAATTTGTACCAAACTCGGTGTGCTTATTGTGCTTGCTACATATAAGCAAAACGTTGAAAATTATTGAATTCGGACTAAAATTACGGCCGCTTTTCATATAACGGTAAATTTTAGAAATGCTTGAAACTGTAATATTTCGAAATTGAAGGACGCTAATTTACTCAAAATTGATACATCCCGGCTTACCATCTAGCGGTAGGTTTCGGAAAGGTGAAAAAACATATACTTAATACTTGCGCCGGGTATTTAATGTTCGGCTCCGCCCTAACTTAGACTTTCTTACTTGTTCTTTTTAAATAGCGTTTACAACTGTCGAACAATGGCGTTTGCGTGCTCGCGAATTTGTGGGAATAGGAAAAATAAACGTGAAACAGTATTTTTTTTAATCTGAATATCGCTGAAAGATTTCAGGTTGCCCCAAAGTGCGAAAATTTACCAAAGAAATTACACAGCAATTTTTATTTTATTTTTTGTAACTATGAGTACTACCTACATACATGTGCACATTAATGCAATTTGCTCTAGAGTGACTACTGGTTTTTAGTATTTGCTCGCAACAGAATGCGAACGCCCGAAAATAAAGATAAACACATACATACATATGAACATATGGGGCGATTACCATTAAATGAGCCGTGCCGTTCAGTGCACATATCGATTAACTCCACTTTTTGAAAAATCTTAAATTTAAGTCTCAAAGCACTTGGTATAGTCATAACCAGGGCCGAAAAGTCTAACCTTTTGCTTGGAATTGCTTATTCAGGGTTTCCAAGCTTAATTTTAACGACCATGCTTATTTGCTTATTTCAATGTATAAAGCCAAGTACGGACCTTTTAAGAGAACAGTCAAGAAATAAATTGCTATTATTTCGTGTGTGTAAACAGTAATGTCCAAGGAGTTTTGACATCTGATATTTTACAGCCTACTGTCTTACTTTTTCCTTAAGGCCAGTATTCAGTTCTCAAGGAAACGTCAAGAAAATATTTCCATTATTTCGAGAGTGTCCAAGGAATTTTGACATCTGATACTTCACCAGCCTCACTCTTTCCTCAAGAAATAATGGAACGGGCATATATTTATATTGCAAACATGGGTTGCCTTGTGCTCTTTTTTCACAAAAAACTTTAGAAAAGCGTAATAGAAAACGTAGCAAATTTCTTAAGAACTGCGTACTGTGTCAAGAAAATTTTACACAAAAATTTCTTATCCATTTCTTGTACGTCATTTTATATGGAGTTTTTGCTTTTCTTGAGAGCTGCATACTGGCCTTTATGCAATAATGGATATTTCTGTTGAAAACAAGAGTACCTTGTGCTCTTCACAAACAAACTTTAGCAAACCATAGTTGTTGCTTCTGGTATCTCAAATGTCAAAAACTGTTCTAATTTTTTTCTTTTAATTCAATTGTGGAAAAAATAAAACCATGATACAACACTTGAAGGTAGTTTCATTTATTGGCATTCGACCACATGTTTATTACATTTAACTAAAATCATGCCACCAGATTCAAAGCGGTAAAATTTTTGTTTCTTGAAAAAGTAAAAAAAAAAACCTTCAAGTTAGTGAACTTGGATTAAAATATTAAAAGCTAAAAAATATATATGTATCAAGGTACATTGAACAGGTAGTATCAGTAGAGCAGCTGATTTGATTTTTTTTCAAATTATTTGGTCTCGAAAATGTCAAATATTTTTAATTTTTTCTCACAAAAATTCTGAATTGTTAAAATCCATTTGCATGTGAAACCTTTNTTGTTTTTGCTTTTCTTGAGAGCTGCATACTGGCCTTTATGCAATAATGGATATTTCTGTTGAAAACAAGAGTACCTTGTGCTCTTCACAAACAAACTTTAGCAAACCATAGTTGTTGCTTCTGGTATCTCAAATGTCAAAAACTGTTCTAATTTTTTTCTTTTAATTCAATTGTGGAAAAAATAAAACCATGATACAACACTTGAAGGTAGTTTCATTTATTGGCATTCGACCACATGTTTATTACAATTAACTAAAATCATGCCACCAGATTCAATAGCGGTAAAATTTTTGTTTCTTGAAAAAGTAAAAAAAAAAACCTTCAAGTTAGTGAACTTGGATTAAAATATTAAAAGCTAAAAAATATATATGTATCAAGGTACATTGAACAGGTAGTATCAGTAGAGCAGCTGATTTGATTTTTTTTCAAATTATTTGGTCTCGAAAATGTCAAATATTTTTAATTTTTTCTCACAAAAATTCTGAATTGTTAAAATCCATTTGCATGTGAAACCTTTTGAATAGCAGCTTTTGGAACGTTCGCCCAACTCAGCAACACGACCGCTGATTACTGGGCCTTGCAAAGGATGGATCAATGGTTCGAGAAGCAAACAAATTTACTAGGAAAGAAAGTTGCATCAATTTTTATTTTTTCCAATTTCAATTTTTTATTTTTTATAATTTTTTGTATTTCACATGGCACGCTTTGATTTAGAAGAAAAAATTCAGAACAGTTTTTGACACTTTCGATACCAGAAGCAACAACAAAATACACGCAAATGTTGTTTTTGCTCTACTGATACTACCTGTTTAATGTGCCTTGATATGTATACATACTTATAGGCAGGACGCTATGGATTTGTGACAAAAATGATCTACTTAAGATGAAAACTACTGCTGTTTCATTCTATAAAATTTTTGTTTATAGAAAAATGCATAAATAAGACAGTTCGGGTACGATTCGGTTATTTATACAATGATTTTGGGTTACGGTGTCCAAACACGTGACCCGAATCAAAAGTTTTAATATATATGTCTAGTCAAAGGATTAAGCTTTAAGTTAAAACAAAGATTTTGGTTTGAAATATGCACTTTTTTGTAAATTGGGAGGTGGATTTTGCGAAAAAATTCTGCGCATGGTATAACCGGAGTTGGACTGATGAGGATATTTTTTTCTAGCACGGCCGAAGGCCACCAAAGCGGAAACGAGTTTTGCGCAAAAATACTGCTGTTAGCCTGACACGAGTTTAACTTTTCTTTGCGAAAATGCTACTTTTGCCCCATTTTAAAATGGGCCCTCGAGTGCTTGTAGAAGGGGCAAGAAGGCAAAGGATGACTTCTTAAATTTTATACTAAGCTCTTTCTAACAAGTGGAGTTTAAGGTGACACACCCCTACCCCCACCGTCTCCCACCAAAAAATCATTGTACAAATAACCGGAAATATCC